CTGAGTGCCAGCTTCATTCACTGGGCACTCGCTCAGCTTCGTAAGTCACGGCTGTCGAGGTAATTTCTCTTGGGTTGATGCTAGAGGACAGAGTTGGATCTCCACGGTTATAAAGTGACATCTGTAGTGAACAGTGTCACATTCTTTCATCACATCAGAGATGTGGCGAAACTCCTATTGGGAAACTGTCCACTCCCTCACTCATTCATTGAGAATGAATCAGAACCCAGTCCTAGCTGACCCTCCAGCGGGTGTTCAGAGGCTGTAAGTAGCACAGGAGGAGACTGCCCATCTTTCTCCTGAGGGGCCTCTGGTTTGTCCATTTACTGTGTAAATAGGCACGAGTAAGCCCAGGCTAACCTCGCTTATTGAGTAACCTTAACACTGCTCTTTGGCGCTTGTGCTTTGAGAGAAAACTGGGTAAGAGTTTGATGACCCAGAGGCGTGGAAAGTTTCCTGAATGACATGAGTGATTTATGCTTGACTATTAACTTAAAAGTTCAAACAGATCCAGCAGCTCTGCCAAAGAAAACCCTGACAATCTGCTTCCACTGAGATTACCTTCAGGGAAGCCCCAGGCAGCAGGTCTGCTCTGAGCATATGGGCCACTGTGAGGCAGAATCCACAGCCGGAGTGGCTTCATGGGCTGGAGTGGAGTGGCTCGGTGGCAGCTCAGTGAGGTATTTGCCCCATATGGGGGTTGTGTGGAGAATGGTTCCTGAGGCCACCTCAGGTCTTCTAATGCCCAACTGATTCCCTTCACCCACATTTGACTTTTTCCCCCCTAACTATTCTTATCATGGGAATCCCTCCACCAGGTGGCCTGGCCACTCCTCCTCTCTCATAGCTCATCAGGAAAGTGGGTGGCACGGATGGGATTGGACTCAATTGACCTCTTGCGTTCTCTTTTGCGCTCTGAATCTTGAGACGGACGAAAGGCAGGCGAGACCAGGCCTTGGTCCGAGCCCTCTGAGGTTTAGGTCCACCGGTGTTGCCCTGAAGGTACTTGCTGCCTCCTGAGGCCACTTTGCTCTGCTAGAATCTCCCCTGTCCCCCTCCCCAGTCTTCACATCAACTGCCTTCCCTGGATGAACGATCTTGACACAGGCCAAGCCAGTTAGAATGACCTACCCTAGGCTTGTCTTTTCTTGTCTAAATGCTAATTTCTTTTAGGACTAGTTTCATCTTTTCTCTGCTAAGAAATGGCCGGTTAGGATCTCAGATTTGACTTACATATTCCCTACTATTAAAACCTATGTACATTCCCCCAAAGGGACACAGCTCCCTTGTGCTGATCCCTGGGCAGTAATGACCTGGAGGCATGGGAAGCCAAGTCTGTTCTCTCAGGAAGCAAAAGGGACAGGAGGAGAGGGGGAGATGGGAGTTATTTCTTAATGCGGAGTCAAATGTTGGCATTAGTGAGGATGTGAAGGCCTCTCACGGTAACCTCTCATTTTTCTGAAGCCCAGAGAAAGGAATTGACTTGCCCAGAGCGGCCCAGTAACTGAGTTACTGGTAACTTCAGAAGCCTCTGGCTTGGTGTCCCGCCCAGAAACCCCAGTGCCCCTCCCTTTCTGCAGTTTCCTTTGCTATGATTTTAGAATGGGAGTGAGGACAGGAGGGCAGGGAGCAAGCTGGTCCCTTGGGATTCTGGCTGCTACTATTGCCCATCCCTCCTCCTGAGCGGCTCGTAAACAAGCCCAGTTCCCAGGCTGTCGTTGGCCTGAAGAGCCTGATCTCCACCAAGCCCTGGCTTTGGGGCACCTCCACCCCAACCCCAGGCAGGACCAGGCCCAGCTCTTTTCCTCCCTGGCCCTACCCTTCAAATTTCTATCTCTTGCCTCTGGGAAGCAGACAAGGTCAAGAGGTTTTTGCTTTCTGCCTTCTTGGGCAACCACAATTCTGCCTACTTTCCTTAAGTGAGAATGGGGAGAAGAAAGGGATGGGGCAGAGTAACCTTGGGAAGATAAGGCCAGTTAACCTTGGGAAAGAAGATTGGTGAGTGAAGGTGGAGGGTAGGAGTTGGAGTAGGAAGAACTGTGGAACTTAGGGTCATGGGAAGTAGGTGGGGTCCTGGCTGGCTAGATAGGTGGTAGGAAAAGGCTGGACAGCTTCTTCCCTCTCTCTGAATCCCAGTGAGGGGGGGGAATGTTCAAGAACACTGACTAGGAGTTAGTTGTGAAATAACATGGAACAGAAGCCTGGCTTCAAGTAAGAATCTTCTCCTTTGATGGCTCATAAATTTTGTTCATTCACCCACTTATTTAAAAAGATACATTATATGGTATCCGCCATACTGTTATGTCAACCATTCATAATATATACATTTTCATAATAAAAATTAGGAGAAGTATGAGTTAAGTACCTAGAAGTCAGTCTTCATGATAGATGAAGAAGAAATTGATGTTGTTAACAATTTCATCTTGCTTGGATCCACAATCAACACTCTTGGCACCAGTAGTCAGGAAATAAAAAAAGGTGCTCTGGGAAAGTCTGTCGTTGGGGACCTCTCCAGAGTGCCAAGGAGCAACAATGTCAGCCTAGAGACTAAAGTGCACCTGATCAGAGCTATGGTCTTCTCAAGTACTTGCTATACATCTGAGAGCTAGACAATGATGAAGGATGACATGGACCACCAAGAGAACAAACAGATCTGTCTTGGAGGGGTTGAAGCCAGGTTGTTCCTTGGAGGCAAGGACTGTGAAGCTCCATTTGGCATACTTTGGGCATGTTGCCAGGAAAGACCAGTTCTTGGAGAACAACATCAGAATGGTAGAGGGTTAGCTGAAGACCCTAGATGAGATAGATTGACATAGTGACTGTGGTAGTGGGGGAAGGTGTGTCAGAGACAGTGAGATTGGTTCAAGATAGGTTAGGGTTCAAGGCTATTTTTCATAGGGTCGCTATGATTTGAAGTCAACTCCATGGCACAAAACAGCAGCAATCTATATGCATTTATGTAGCTAAAGAAGGCAATATCTAGCTCATCTGTCTATCTATAAACGGAAAGACAGACCGACCCATGGCCCTTGAGCAGACGGATAAAATAACAATCAAAAAAGAACCCCCAAAACCAGTGCTGTCAAGTGGATTTAGGTAGACAGAGTAGAACTGCCCTTTGTGATTCCAAAGATTTAATTTTTATGGAAACAAATGGCCACATCTTTCTCCTACAGAATGGCCTGTGAGTTCGAATGGCCAACTTTTCTGTTAGCAACTGAGTGTTTAACTATTGCAGCACCAGAGCGCACTGTGTCTCAGGTGAGAGAAGGTCAATGATCAACTCTCAAAGCCATGGGCCATTGGGAACCTGTGTGCCCTGCCTTTGCTGTGCATCTGTTTCCGCACTCACTCTTCTAGAGTGGAGAGTGGAGAGTGTGGGTTGTGGCTTCCCAGGCTACACCTGGGGTCCAGTGCTGAAAAGCCTTAGTGTGGAAGGAAGGATGTTCTCCAAAGAGGGGAAAACCTTGAGCTGGGTGAAGACAATGACCTGATTGAGGCGTGTGTGTGTGTGTGTGTACATGCTCGTGCGTGCACATGTGTGTTTTAGGAAACCTGAGAGGACTGAGCTTACACATCTTTCTAAGTCACCTCTTCAAGTATCTCATGCTTCATTGTTAAGTCTACTTTAGGCCAGAATTCCTCTTGCTGGTATAAAGACCATTTCATCTCATAGTTCTGGAGGCAAAGCATTCCCAGGCAGTGGGGACCTGTGTGGCAAATGGGGACAGCACGGTGGATATGCGGTAAGAGAGAAGATAAAAAGCAAAAGTGGGCTAGCCTGACATTTGGCAGCCACCTAACATCATATTTCCACCTCTCCCTACCTTCTTCCCTCCTTTGTTGTGTACTGTAGAGTCGGAACCGACCTGAGGCAGTTATTTGCAGGGAGGAGATTGCCCATCCTTCTCCCTCAGAGCAACTGGTGGCTTTGAACCATGTGTCTTTGGGACTGCAGTACAGCTTCTTGCCACTAGATCACCAGAAACTCCATTGCCCTCAAGTCACCCTTCCCTCCTCTTCCCACTCATTCCTAGAAGATAGAGATCTTTGAGGAGTGCTAAAGCGAGGGCAATCTGATGGAAAGAGGCGGATGAAGACCTGTCAGCATCCGCTTTCAGAGTTCTGCAGAAACCAGATGGTGACTCTCTTTCAGGCAGAATGAAGTGATACCTGAATGTGTGTGAACTTCGCAGGAGGTCCTTTTCCATCAGGCCAAACAGTAGTTCCCACACTATTAATGGTGTCACTTCAGTTAGAAGGACTTGGTTTGCCCCATCCTTTTGCTCCAGAAGGACCACAAGTCCTTGTCAGGGTCACCTACTTCCTGAGAAACCTTCGAGACTCAGTCCTCTAGCTCTCCAGATCAGGAGGAGTTGTTAGGGTGGGAGGGTCAACCACAGAGACTGAAGCCTAGCTCTCTATGGAGGGAGAGACCTGGACTTGAGAGCAAGGTAGGACTTTTCCACCCCTCCAGTGAAGATGAAGGTTTTCTGTCTGGCTTCTTCCATCCAGACCTTGACTGCGTCCCCTTCACTAGGTACTAGACTGGAAACCACTGTAGAGCAAGGATTCAGTCTTATCTTTCTGGCACTGAGTCCATGCATACCTTCACTGATAAATCCTTATAGTAATTTGACTCCTGGTGAAGGTAGCTGGTACTAGATAGAACAAGGTTAAATATTCAATTGGGCTGGCCCAAAACAGAGACAAGAAGGAAATTAGCAAAAAGAACAAGAAGGCTGCCAGCACAAGACAAGGATACCTCATGAAGAGATACCAAAGGAAAGTGGGCGGTAACAGGGGTTTAAAGAACCGCACTGGACATGTATCACCGGGGAGGCAGCGGGGCTGTCACGGTTCTTGGCAGCTCTTGCCCCTCGATGCCTCCCTCCCATAAGGAACATCTCAGGGCTCTGGCTGGAAGGTTCCTTAGGAGGCCAGCTCTCCCTTTGTAGGCCTGGTCCCCCCAGATCTGCTGTCTTCTGCTCCCTCTCCAGGGCCGTGGGCAGCCCGTTGGTCATGGACCCCACCAGCATCTGCCGGAAGGCTCGGCGCCTGGCAGGGCGGCAGGCCGAGCTGTGCCAGGCCGAGCCGGAAGTGGTGACCGAACTGGCCCGGGGCGCCAAGCTCGCAGTGCGAGAGTGCCAGTTCCAGTTCCGCTTCCGCCGCTGGAACTGCTCCAGCCACAGCAAGGCTTTTGGGCGCATCCTGCAGCAGGGTCAGTGTTCACAGGGGTCTCTGAGGGGCTGCCTCCTCCCTGGGGGCCTGGAGGACATGGGGTGGGGTGAGGATCAGCTTAAGGCACCCTGGCCCACTATAAACCTCCCCTAGGCCTCCCCTATCCATCTGACCCTGTCTCCCTGGTCCCTGCAGACTCCACCCCATCTTGCCCTGTCCCCCCCATGATTCCCACCCTGCCCCCTGTAGCCCCCTTGGTCCTGCCCGCTGACACTCCTGCTTACACCCGCAGACATTCGGGAGACAGCCTTCGTGTTTGCCATAACGGCAGCTGGTGCCAGTCACGCGGTCACACAGGCCTGCTCCATGGGGGACCTGCTGCAGTGTGGCTGCCAGGCACCCCGCGGGCGCGCCCCACCTCGGCCCTCCGGCCTGCCTGGCATCCCTGGCACCCCTGGGCCTCCAGTCCCGGCGGGCTCCTCTGATGCCAGCGCCATCTGGGAGTGGGGAGGCTGCGGCGACGACGTGGATTTTGGGGATGAGAAATCGAGGCTGTTTATGGATGCCCAGCAGAAACGAGGACGCGGGGACATCCGTGCGCTGGTACAACTACACAACAACGAGGCAGGCCGGCTGGTGAGGACGGGGCGAGTGTGGGAGAGAAGGTGGGGGCTGCGTGGCAGGGGCTGAGCTGGCAGATGTTTGTGAGGAAGGGTGGTATCTGAGTGTGGGTGTGCACTTGGGAGTATGTTGACGGGCATGAGGAGGAGCAAGAGAGGCAGACTGGCTGCTGTGTGTGTGGGCACTGGAGGGTGGGTGAGGTGCCAGCCTACATAACAGAGTTACACTGGGCAGGGTAGAGAGGGAGACACGGGCCTTTAGGGACCCAGGGTAGGAGGGCAGTCCTCTGAGACAGGAGAGTTGGGCAGGGATGAGTCCAGTGGGTCAGAGAAAGGTGGCAAAGGTTGGGGATGAAAGAGAGGTTAGAAGCTGAGGCCAAGGAGTGGGAGCTGGAGGTAAGGAGGGACTTAGAAAGGGGCTAGAACAGGTGTCACGAGACAGAGCATGCAGAAAGGAGGCCCAGGTGGAGGGAGGAGGAGGCCAGGTGGGGCCTGGGAAGCTGGGATGAATGTGGTCACGTGCCAACTGGCAGCCCCAGGCCAGCCTGTCCAAACCCTGGCAGCTTCCCAAGTCCCCAGCCCCATGCCTGAACTGAAGAGGGCCCCAGGAGCTCTGTGCCATGGGGGCAAGATGGAGGGCCTGGGAGGAGGGAGGTAGCACACACAAGTCTGTAGATGAGGTTGCCCATGATGGTCAGCTTTCTGGGTCAGCAAGACTCATGAATCTCTAACAGAGGTGCAGCTTTTAGCATTCCCCCCAGTTTCAGACATAAGAAAATAAGAGGCAGTACTCCTGGGTTCTGATCTCAATTCATACATTTGTAGTGGGCCCTGTCCCCTCAGTTCTGGGATACTCTAGTGACAACCCCCTAATATAAATATCCTGCATCCTGGAGGGCTTGGGCCTTAGACATTCGGCAGGAAGGGGCCAAATACCTGTTGGAAAGGGTGATTCCCAGAAGGCCAGTTCTTCCAGCAGGAATGAGGGGGCTCAGCTGGCAGGAGGACTGGGCCAAAACAGCTGCCCCCTCCTCTGGCCCCTCCAGAGAGAATCTCACTCCAGCCATCCATTCTGCCTTCATCCACCACTTGTTTTCGATCCTGGAATTCCAGTGGCGCATACTGCCCTCCCCACCCTCTTACCCTCAGCCCTCCCACCCCTTCCACTCCTCCACTCCCGCCCCCTGCCTTGTTACTCCCCAGCATTCTCTTTCTTTCTGGGCTGTTGCATCCTTGGTCTCTCCCCACCCCCGCCACCCGCTTATCTTCTGCAGGTCCCCAGACCGCCCACTCTTCTCTTATAGGCGGTGAAAAGCCACACGCGCACCGAGTGCAAGTGCCACGGACTGTCCGGCTCCTGCGCGCTGCGCACCTGCTGGCAGAAGCTGCCGCCCTTCCGCGAGGTGGGAGTGCGGCTGCTGGAGCGCTTCCACGGCGCCTCGCGCGTCATGGGCACCAACGACGGCAAGGCCCTGCTGCCCGCCGTGCACACGCTCAAGCCTCCGGGCCGCTCAGACCTCCTCTACTTGGTCGACTCGCCAGACTTCTGCGCTCCCAATCGGCGCACTGGCTCGCCGGGCACGCGCGGCCGCACCTGCAACAGCAGTGCCCCGGACCTCAGCGGCTGCGACCTGCTGTGTTGCGGCCGTGGGCACCGCCAGGAGAGCGTGCAGCTCGAGGAGAACTGCCTGTGCCGCTTCCACTGGTGCTGTGTTGTGCAATGCCACCGCTGCCGCGTGCGCAAGGAGCTCAGCCTCTGCCTTTGACCCGCATGGTGCTCTGCACGCTGCGCACGGACACGCTCTCTCCAGGGGCCTGAGAGACCTCCGGGTTCCAGCAGGGGCCACTCCCCGCGCCCTGCCTCTCCCTGCAGTCAGCCTTCCACGAAGGCTCAGGGCGCTTGGAGGGGCCCCTCAGAGGTGCTCCAGGGATTCCTGGAGGAGACTATACAGGCCTTCCCTTCTCTTGGCCCCAAGGATAAACCAAAGAGCCAACCCTTAGGCTTGTGGATGTGAGGCTACTGGATTGGAATGGGTGGGTGAAGTTAGTATCAATAAAGATATTTAAGCCGATACGACTGGGCGGGAGCGTTGGGTTTCCTGGGGGTTTGGACGGTCTGTGAGGGGAGGTGGTCTTGATACCACGTCATCTCAGGAAGGACCCCTGTAATGTACTGATAGTGTGTTTTGGCAACTATCTCTGACCTTTCAAATCGAGGGTGATGGACAGGCAGGCTCCACCCACTAAGATTAACTGTGTCGGAAACCTGATGAATTGTCTATGAATCAGGACCAATTTGACGGTAGTCGGAAAACTTCAGGGTCACCACCCTGCGAACCCATCTTTTTACACCAGGTTAAGCTCTTAGGAAGACTCTGTCTTTCAGTCTCTCAAGTCGTCTTGGGCACCCTCACATTTCTAGGACTTGGATTTGCAAGCTGGGGACCTAGCAACTAGAGATCTTTTAAAGGATAGTAGAAGGAAGGGCCTGAGAAATGGGGACCAAAAATCTTTCTTGGAAACTGTTACACCTTTATTTTCTGTTTCAGTGTCTCCTGGGGAAACTCAAGGGCAAACTTAAAAAAAGATAGGCTTTATTTTCTAAGGAAGTTTTTTATTTACAGAAAGATTACATACACGATACAGAGTTCCAGCATACTGGCACACACTTTGCCTCTTGCATCAGTGTGGTTGAAAACACCAAAAACCTGCTGGTGTCACCAGTCGAAACTCATAGTGATGCTGCATCAGGTTCTGAGGCTGTAAATCTTGACAGGATACAGTTCCTCTTTGTCCTGGGAATGGCTTTGAACTGTTGACCTTTTGCTTTTGCAGCCCTATACACTAAGGAACCAGTGCTGTTGTTAGGTGCCTTAAAGTCGACTGCTAGTCATAGTGACCACTCTGAACAACAGATCTGAACCTTGCCCTAACCTATGCCCTCTTTCTGATCCCTGACACCCTCAAGCCCATTCTTAGAGTCACTGTGTCAATCTGTCTCTTTGAGGGTCAGCCTCTCTTTGGCTGACCCTTAACCTTGACCAATACTATATCTTATTCCAAACACTTGTCCCTCCTGATAACTGCTGAAAGTATGTGAAACTCACCATTCTTGCCTCTGAGGTGCACCCTACTTGTACTTTTTCCAAGATAGATTTGTTTGTTCTTATGACAGTTCATGGTCAACGTAATACTCTAATACTGAATTTCAAAGGCATCGATTCTTCTTTGGTCTTCTTGATTCACTGTTCAACTTTCTGACACATATAAAGCAACTGGAAATATCACAGCTTGGATCAGGCACGCCTTACTCTTTAAACTGATATCCTTGTTCTTTAGCCCTTTGGAGATGTCCTTGACAGCAGGTTCCCTCCAATGTAACTTATTTTTTGATCTCTTGACTGCTAGTGTTGATTATGGACACAAGTAAAACAAAATTATTGACAACTTCAATCTTTTTTCCATCTATCATGATGTTGCCTATTGGTCCAGTAGTGAGGAGTTTTGTTTCTTTGATATTGAGATGTAATCCATATCTCATTTTCTGCAGTAACTACATCAGGTTTTCTTAACTTTCAACAAACAAAGTTATGTTATCTGCCTAACGAAGATTGTTGATGAATCTTCCAATTCTGATGCCCCATTCTTCTTCATAGTCCAGCTTCTCAAATTATTTTCTCAGCATCTAGATTGAATAGATAGAAAGGATAATGCAAGCTGGATTCAGAAGGGTCTATGGAATGAAGGATATCATTGACGAGGTCAGATGGATTTTAACTGAAAACAGAATACCAGAAAGACACTATATTTTATTGACTATGCAAAGGTGTTTGTGTGGATCAGAATAAATTATAGACAACATTGAGATGGATGGGAATCCCAGAACTTTTAATTGTGTTCATGCGAAACCTATACATACACTAAGAAGCAGTTGTCCAAACAAAACAAGTGACCATTTATCTGCATGATTTTACATCAGGAAAGGTGTGTGTCTGGATGGTATCCTTTCTTCATACTTATTCAGTCTGTATGCTGGGCTGATGATTCATAAGGAACCAGTATTTACCTATTATTACTAAAGAAAGTCCATAGTTTACAAGAGGGTTCATTTTTTAATTTCACAATTCTATAGGTTTGGAAAAATGCACGCAATCTTGTGTTCACTTTCACAATATCATAAAGGATTATTTTATAGCTAACAATCCCCTGTGTTCTGTTGCATAGTCTCTCCTCCCTTTCCCTCTTCTTTCAACCCCTGGCCACCACGAATTTTTTAAATTTCTTTTCTTTTATTTTTTTTTTACTGTCTATTGATTTGTGGACAGCATAACTACACTGACATGGTGACTACAACAACGGACTTGGACAGGCACTTAACTTTATAAACTGCAGAATACAATGTAAAAAGGTTATTATCAACACTAGACTTTGTTCCAGTTCAAATGAGCCTGTTAGCTAATGCAGAGTTCCCAGAGAATATTTCTAATCATGCTTGGGGGGCAAAACTGCCCTGAGGTTTCTCTTGGCACCTTTCCTTCTTCTTACAGCCTCTCAGGAAGATGATGGTGTGAGAGTGGGAGAGCAGAGAAATCAGGGTTCTAAGCTCTGGGCCCTCGGGGAGGGCTTAGTTTAGTGACTGGGATTCAGAACTTCTGCTTTTTTCTTTCTATTGTAGACAATGACTTACCTTCCCATCAAAATGTAGGGCAAAGTGTGGGTTTTAAATCCAGGTACCCTCTGCTTAGAAGAAGCTTACAACACCCCAAGTTCATTTATTTACCTGTACAGTGAGGATGTCATCCCAACGTTATTTACGACAGATTCCCCAAGTCAAGAAGTAGTCGGAACGCAGCTGCTGGGTGGTTCTGCTCCATGTGGCAATGCCTGGGGCCCTGAGTCTAAGATTTTTTTGAGTCTGAGCTTTTGTTCTCTTATGTAGTGGCTCTGTTCTCTCACAGGGAGCTTTGGCTCCCTCACAGCATGACAGTCTAAAGTCCATCTTATTTTTTACACAGACTGGTTTTCAGGAGGGACTGTGCCAAATTGGAAGGCAGAAACTGCCCATCTCTTAAAGTCCAGCCTTGGACGTTATACCACATCACCATCAGATTTGGTTGGCAGGAAGTCGTCACAGAGCCAACCAAAGTCCAGGGGAAGGGGGATACACTCCACCTCTGTATCAAGAGTGCCAAAGGGTTTGCAGCCACCATAACCCAGCCTTTGCCCTTGTAGAACTGCGAAGAGGATTTTTAAAAGATCATGTACTTAGCACAGCATTTGGCACATGGTAACTTGCTGTTGTTGTTATGTGCCATTGAGTCGCTTGCGACTCATAGCGACCCTATGTACAACAGCTCTAAACTCTGCTCTGTCCTGTGCCAATCTCATTGTCTCCGACACACTCATCCTGATTGTCCCCGTCACTGAATCAATACACCTCCCAGAGGGCCTTCCCCTCCTGCGCCTGCCCTCCACCCTCCCAAACATGATGTCCTTCTCTAAGGACGGGTCTCTCCTTACAACATGACCAAAGTATGTCAGATGATGTCTCAGAATCCTTGTCTCCAAGGAGCAGCCCAGTTTAACCCTTTCCAGGATGAATCTGTTTATTTTCCTAGCAGTCCACGGTACCCTCAGCACTCTTTTCCAACACCAAAGCTCAAAAGTATCAATTCTCCTTCTATCCACCCTGGTCATTGTCCAGCTCTCTAACGCATAACAAGTGATTACAAAGACCATGGCCTGTACCAGGCACATCTTAGTCTCCAGAGACACACTGTTGCTTTTTAGTACTTTAGAGAGGTCCCTAAGAGCAGACTTTCCCATCGCAATACGTCTTTTAATTTCCTGGCTGCTGGTGCCAAGAGTGTTGATTGTGGAGCAAGCAGACGAAAGCTGTGCACAATCTCAATCTCTTCACCATCCATCCTGATGTTGCCAATTGGTCCAGTGGTGGTCTTCTTGACATTGAGCCTCAATCCATATTGAAGGCTGCAGTCCCTGACTCTCAGCAGGAAGTGCTTCAGTTCCTCCTCAGTTTCAGCAAGCAGAATTATGTCATCTGCATAATGCAGATTGTTGATAGATCTTCTACCAATCTTGATGCCACATTTCTCTTCATAGAGCCCAGCCTCCCGGATGATCTGTTCTGCACACAGGTTGAAAAGGTATGGAGACAGGACACATCCCTGGCGTACGCCCTTCCCAATTTTGAACCATGCAGTGTTTCCCTGCTCTGTTCTGACGACTGCCTCTTGGTTCAAGTATAGGTTTCTCATTAGCATGATCAAGTGTTCTGGGATTCCCATTCTTCTCAGAGTCAGCCACAGTTTGTTATGGTCCACACAGTCAAACGCCTTTGCATAATCAATGAAGCACAGATAGACATTCCTCTGGTAACTTATATGTCAAATTTATGTTTAATATATGGTAAATACTGTGACAATGGGGATAGAATTGATGCTTGTAAAATATCTGACAGGCCTTGATTGCAAAGGAAGAGCTCCAATGGAATCAGCTTAGGCTGAAAGGGAATCAATCAGTCTCCTAGCTGGGAAGTCCTAGTAAGGTCTGAATTCAGGCAAAGCTGAATGCAGGAGGTCACGTGATGTTGTAGTTCTCTCTGTCCCCTTCACCCTCCACCTATTGCTTCTGCTTCTCTCTACTTTGCATAATGCCCTCATTCTCTCCTGCTGCAGACTTTTCCCACACAACAGCCCACTTCCTCCGTTCTTAAAACCCCAGTAATCCAAGAGGAAGAAGGCCCTTCTCAGTTATCTCCAGGATGATGCCCAGGGAAGATCCTGGTGCATTTAGCCTGAGCTATACACCTGAATCCTTATGGTGTCTGGGGAGATACTCAACCAAGAGG